GGGGAGGGAGAGGGGAAGGAGGGGAGAGAAAGAGGGGGGAAGAAGGGAGAGAGAAGGAGGGAGGAAAAAGAGAGAGAGGGAGGGAGGGAAAGAGGGGGGGAAAGAGAGGAAGGGAAAGAGACAGGGAGAGAGGAAGGGAGAGAAGGAGGGATGGGAGGAAGGAAGAAAAAGGACTGCCTCTCTAGACGTCTGGTAAGCACCATGTGAGCGCAGATTGCCGGGTCATTTTTTTTTTTTTAAGGACTAAGTAGTATGCCCTGGGATGAAGGGTTGACAGACAGACTGAGCCACGACGAGTTATTTGGGCTTTGCCAAACATGATATTTGGCTCCAGAGTGACCCAAGAGCGATTTAGGAAAGCTATCTGGCCCAGGGAACCCACACTCACCTTGCGCCTAACGTCTAAACAGCTAAAGGACGCGCAGCTTTCCCTGCTTCACCCGAGTGGAGCAGGCTCAAGGCTGACCTACTAGAAAACTAACCAACAGCCCCTTAACAGCAGAGCGGGCGCACGTGGGGGACTCTGCGGACTCCCGGGCAGGAACTTGACTGAAGCGTCTTAAAGCGCCCGAATGCGTGCCCCGCGGGAACCCAAAGAGGTGCGACTGGCCCGTCCCGCCCGGGTGTCCATCCCGCGGGGCGGACGGTGAGGCGCGGCAGGGCCCCCTCGCCCCTTACCTGCTGGGAGGCCGCGAGCCGCCCCGCGCCGGCGACGCTGAACACAAGGCAGGCAGGGCTGGGGCTCTCCAGAAACTCCCTCAGGACCTGCCGGCTGCCCTCGCTTTCCAGATACTGGCTCCATTTCTCCTCCCGGAGCCCCAGCATCTGCTCCACACGTCCGCCGACGAAGCGCACCCGCGTATCCTGGGCGAAAGTCCGAGCTCTCCGGGCCGCCGCCACCGCCTCCTCCTCCTCTTCGTCCTCCTCCTCCAGCTCCACCATGCCCGCCGCCTCGAGGCCGGCCTCTGGGGTTAGACGAAGGGTCGGGGCTTCCCGGAGGCCCGGCGCCTCGCGAGCGGCCACCGGGGCTGCCATGGGGCACGTCTGAGGAGACGCGGGCTCGGGCCGGCTCCTCGCGCGCTCTCCCGCCCAGCCCCGCGCGGGCGAGGCCGCCCTCCGCACGCACGCCGGGGGGAGGAGCCCGCCTCTTCCCGCAATTACCGTGAGCGCGGCCGCTCGTCTCCCACCTGTTACCACTTGGCTGCCAGGGGCCGTGCGCCGTGCGCCGTGCGAGCTCAGCTGGCGAGGGCGCTGGCCGGGGGTGAGCGGCGCGTCCCGTTTCCCGGGGAACGGTGTCCCCGCCTCGGCCCGCTGGGGGCGGAGTGAGCGCTGAGGAGAGCGGCCTTCGGGCTCTGGACCCCGAACCAAGTGGGAAGGAGTGGGCCCTCAGCCTGTGTGAGTCGCTCGCTGGCCCCCTCCGCTGTCCCTCGGCTCTCTGGAGCGATGGACATCTCTGTGGGGCTCCCGGGGAGGGAGTATGTGGTTTGAGCAGTGCTGTCTTGTGCCAAGCTCCACACTAAATCCTTCAGCTTGTTTATTTCCTTTAATCTCCAGAAAGGCAGGGCTCCAGCTGGTCAGTTTATTTTATAAGCAAGGAAACTAACTCACAAAGTGGCTAAGCAACAAGGAGATGGTGGAATCGCCACTCAGGACCCCGCGCCGAGGGCTTTATTCACCTTGCCCATAGTTGTCCGAATATTTCCAGGAAAGAACCAACTCTGCAATTCAACTTTCCTAGTTGTGTGAAACCAAGATCTGAGTATTTGAAATCCTGATTCCGAATCTCATCTGCCACTTGCTTGAATTTAATACACCCAATGAAAGAATGCATAACGCTCTTTGTAAACGCCAAACTGCTCTAAAAATATGTAGAATTATTATTCAGTCCAGGAATAAAAGAGCTAGGGAGAGAAGTTCCAGTTTAACAACAGTCTCCATGATACTGAAATGGGATTTCAATGTGGTCTATTAATGACATTTGTTGAGACTCAAGGCAATTCTGTTGACTGAAATTTGAGGGGACAGTCTTCGAACTAAAATTTTTAGTCCTTTCCCTTTTCAAAATAAAAACTTCAAACCCCGTGTCCCTCATAAGAACTATGAAAGGAGTGTTTCCCTCAATAATCCATTATAATAACTGATTATTGATAAACAGGTTGTTTCCAGAAAGATGTGGAGCCTCAATGATTTTTCTTTTCAGGATGTTGTGTCTGATAACCACCTGTTTTTCTAGTTATAGGATCAGAATTTTGAATGACCACAGGCATTTGGAAAGATGACTTCAGGCTGTCAAGGCAGATCTGCATGGCCCAGGGCAGTTTTGGGGGCTCCCAGTGGCTACTAAACCAGCCTAGATATCACCACAAGCACCTTAACAATGCTTCTTAGTCTCTCCTCTCACCCCTATATTTGACCTTTGCATCCACTACCTCAGAAAAACAGGAATTCTGTAAATAAGTGGAATTAAACTAAAAGGGAAAACCATTTTCAAATTAAGCAGAAAAAATTAAATCATACTGCTAATATTAAAGTACAATTTTTAAAAAGTTACATATGTAACTCAAAATGTAGAATGAAGACATGCCAAGATTTATTCAACTCATTAATGAGGAAATCAACAAAATGAAGATGATTTCAGAAGAATTAGAGAAAGACTGACAGGCAGAGGAGAAAGATTAGAAATAAAGTTGCTAGGTTAGATACAACATTCCTTAATGTCCTATAGGGCAATACAATCTTGACTTTTGTTCTGAGGTCTTAAAAAAGAAACTTGTGTGTTTTAGAAATAATTTACATGTGTAAGAAACAAAAACCTGCAGTTAAACAAGTAATAGTGGCATACAATAAGAACATTTATCATCTCACCCAAGAAGTCTGGTTGTAGAGGAGTCGTGGGTCGATTACTACAATGACTCTGGGGTGAGGCTGTTGTTCATCTCTCTTTCCTGTGGTCTCCAGTGGGTCAGTGATTTTCCTACCATCGATGCTAACTGGCAACCATGCTTTCTAGCATTCCATGTAGGTGACAATGTCCAGAGGCAAGAAGACAGAGCATCTTCATTTTTGAGTAAAGAAAACTTGCCAAAGCCCTCCAGAAGATTTTCCCTTTCATCTAATTGGCCAGTATTACATCTCATGCATGTGTCTAAACCTTGCATTCATCAAGGGAAACTAGATCAATATCCATTCCCAGCCTCCTCTTAAGAGTATGTCCACTAGGAGGAGCCTGAGCAAAATCTGGGTTCTGCTAGTGAAGAAAAGGGGAACAAAAGTCCATTTGTTAGTCAATCAAGAGGGATATGAATGTGTGTTTTTTTCTCAGATGCCCCATATACATATAATATCATGGGAAGTATCACTTTACACTAACACAATTTCCGAAGAATTATGAAGACTTTTTTTAAAGTGTGGCTAAACATTAAAAGAACTTTATTCTTGAAGAAGCCCTTGACTAAGGTCAACTTGAGATTTTGGAAGAAGAAGAAGAAAACGGTAAAACTGAGAAAACTGTGTGGTTTGAGGAATTTTACTATCTGGATTTTCAGAGGTATCAAGACAGAAACAAGTGGGTGAAGGACAAACATACTCGGGAGCTGCTGTTGCCAACAGGTATGTGCCATGTAAAGGGTGGGGACAGAAAAGGGTTACAAATACCAAGTGAGGAGACATGCAGATCACAGGCAGAAATGGTAATTCAGGAGGTCAAACCCATTCAAAGTGGATACAAAACAACAGTCAAGTTATAGTTTCTTAGCACTGCTGGTTTTAATAAAAACACCTAAAGCCTCTTTGCAGAGTAGAAGCATTTATTTAGGAGTTAAAGAGGGTTTGCAGGAAAGAATAATTGTGTAACATTTAGGAAGAAAATTCTGAAGTGCACTGGAAATGGCTGACAGAAGCAAGCAAGCAACCAGCTACCACAAGACTCAGGAGAGGAAATCCTCACCAGCCCTCAATCTAATCTCTTCCTAGACCTATAGATTGCACTCTACCTTGCATTACAGGCATTGGGCTGCTTTTTTATTTTTCCTTATTAGTAACTAAGCCCTTTGAAGGCAGACACTATCAGGGACTATGCCATTTATTTCTTCAGTTATTAAGTTTATTTTTATCCCATGCAGCATCTAGCATAGACCCTCCAGCAATACTACAGTTCAAATATTTGTTGAATTAAATAAGCACTCAAAAAAAAAAAAATGCCAGAAAGGGGAGGACTTCTGTGACCTAAGACATTTGAGTCAGGAAAAGAGTTAAAACCTCTGACGGGAGAGGGGAAAAAGAAATCTGTAAAAAGAGATTAATTCAATTACAGGCAATCAGAACAGGAAAGAAGTTTTATGTTAGGAGTGCTAGTTGGAGACGCAGAAGATTTAGAGGTTAAATACATTCAACACAAGAATATGAAAGGGAGTTAAGTTGTAGGGGTATAAGCACAATCATTTCTGAGTATCTCCTAAATTGTAATAAAACACATTATTATTTCTATTCCTGTTTGTTAAACCTTTCCTGGAAATCAGAAGCAAGGAAAAAGCTCAAGTGCCCAGAGTTGAGCCCAGGTGGGAATTCAGTGAGGATTAGTGATCCCTCCCAGTGTGGAGGCAGCATGCAAATGTGTAATTAAGTCTTACATTTGTCTGCTGCTCAACAGTTTACAAAGGCCTTGCACAGGTGATACCTTATTTAGTGAAGAGAGATTTGAGGAGGAGGGCAGTGTGCTTGTATCAGGTAAGTCTCCTTTTTCTTTTATATTAACACTGCCGATATATCCGTTGTAACACTGCTGAATGTTCTTCCTAAACCAGCGGGCATTGTTTGCATTCCTGCTTTTCTCCCTAAATATATGTTTATATTCCTATTATGCTGGTAGTGAATTATTCCAGTATATAGAGTATCACATGCACCCGTAATATTCCCTAATCTTCAAGAATTAGCATGCCTTAATGTAATTCCACCAGCACCAAGAAGCCCCACCGCTTCCCCAGCAATTCCAGCCCTTTAAAAAGATGGCACTCTTTGTGACACACAAGGTTGTGACACTAGGTTGCTTGGGCTGGGAAAGGTTAGAATAAGCATTCTCTCAGTGCACACCAAGAGTTCTTCACTCCCCAAACTCTTTACTCCCTGTGTAAACAGAGGATGCAAATACAGCAATGCCCTGTGAACTCAAGTAGTTTGGTTCTGAAATGGTCAACAAAACCACAATTGGCAAGATCAAGGTCTTAGGGCACAGACAGGATTGATGGAAGCAGAAAGGAAATGAACATACCTGATAGTGATTTCATCATTCTATGATGCATCTTTTTTCACATTTTAACATCTCTGCAATTGGGGTCTGTCTTACATTTGTGATCAGCCAAGAGGTATGTCTGCCATTGTTATTATTGCTCATTCATCTGCAACAATATTTGCAAAATGTAATATCAGCATAGAAGAAATGCCTGGAAATAACAGTGGAGCATTCTTTTACGAAATGCTGCATTATATATACTCTTAATGGCACAGATGATATTGGTTGGAAACTGATGGCTCCTGGTATGTTAATTATCTGTTGCTGCCTGACAAACTACCCCCAAATACAGTAGCTCAGAGCAAACATTAGCTTACAGTTTCCATTGGTTAAGGATCTGCGAGGAGCTTAGCTGGTGTTCTGGCTCAGTCTCTTGAGAGGTTGTAGTCAAGATGGTGGCTGGAGCTGCACTCCTCTGAATGCTTTACTGGGCTGGACAATCCCCATCAAGCTCACTTAGGTGACCACTGTCCAGAGGTCTTAGTTCCTTTCCACATGAGCCTCTCCACAGGCTTGCTTACGACAACCCAGGCTTCTCCTCAAGTCAACCGTCCAAGAGAACAACTAAGAAGGAAGCTACAGTGACTTATAAATTCTGGCTTATGAACTGCAATTTGAAATATATATATGATGCTTCACCAAACACACATGCACACTTATTTCACATATACATATATAAATAATAAATACAAAGAATAAGCCAACATAAAGAAGAGCTTCAAAGGCTTAAAATGGTTAAATCAAAGTGGCACCCACTTACAATTTTACTGAATTGAATTACAATCTTTTTTCAGTTAGTTTCCTCTTTGCCTTTACACTATTCTCAACAGTGGTTTTCCGAACTTGTTAATGTGATCAAACACTTGGAAGCCATGATGCCCTTTACATAGCAC